AATTCTATTAACTCATGATTCACCCAGGTCAACAAATACATTTCATAACTGAATGAGTATTTGAACTTGAATCACGCTAGATATGTTTTTTGAAAATGAATCATCATTAATGTAAGAGGTTAAGTTAGCATTTTGGCATGTTTGCTTTTTATTGTAAAGTATGCTTTTGGATCTGTTTTTTTTCAAATGTTGTGCAGCCATTTTATAAACCATAATTAAACTAACCCTTTTATGTGAATCTTACAGGCAACAGAATGCCAAAGATAGGACTCTGGAGAACTGAGAATCACAAGGGTGATCATTTCCGAGTTCAGAAAAAGAGGGAAACCTCTGGACGTCAGTGGGAAGGAAAAGGTCACTTGGACAGCCACAGTAATGCAGGCCTCGCCCTGTGACGAAGGAAACAGTAGCTTGAATTAAAGTTCGATCCAACAACGTATTCAGAGTACACAGATTTGCCTATTGTGGGAAAAGCACAGATTGTAGATCACAGCTGAATATTCATGAGAGGATCCACACTGGAGAAAAGCCATATCAATGCACCGAATGCAGCAAAAGCTTTGGTCTGAAAAGTTGCCTTGTGTTTCACAGAAGAACTCACACCAGAAAGGAGCCCTACCAGGGCTCCCTATACGGCAAAAAACAGCGAGCAGGACAAGCTGATAATACACCAGAGGACTCATACTGTGGAGAAACCTATTGAGTGTCCAGTATGTGGGGAAAGTTTCAGTAAGAATTCCAACCTGGTGAGCCACCAGAGGACTCACACAGGCGAAAAACCCTTTGAATGTCCTGACTGGGGGAAAAGTTTCAGTCATAATATGAGCCTGGTGAAACACCAGAGAACTCACATAGGAAAAAAGCCATTTGAATGTCCTATCTGTGGGAAAAGTTTCAGTCGTAATTCCAGCCTGGTGATACACCAGAGGACTCACACAGGAGAGAAACCATATCAGTGTCCAGACTGTGGGAAAAGTTTTAGTTGTAATTCTGTCCTGGTGAAACACCAGAGGACTCACACAGGAGAAAAACCCTTTGAATGTCCTGACTGTGGGAAAAGGTTCAGTCATAATTCCAGCCTGATGAGCCACCAGACGACTCACTCAGGAGAGGAACACTTTGAATGTCGTGACTGTGCAAAAAGGTTCAGTCATAATAACAGCCTAGTGAAACATCAGAGGACTCACACAGGAGAAAAGCCATTTGAATGTCCTGTCTGTGGGAAAAGTTTCAGTCACTATTTCAGCCTGGTGATACACCAGAGGAGTCACACAGGAGAGAAACCATATCAGTGTCCAGACTGTGAGAAAAGTTTCAGTTGTAATTCTGTCCTGGCAAAACACCAGAAGACTCACACAGGAGAAAAACCCTTTGAATGTCCTGACTGTGGGAAAAGTTTTAGTCGTAATTCTAGCCTGATGATACACCAGAGGACTCACACAGGAGAGAAACCCTTTGAATGTACAGATTGTGGGAAAAGTTTCAGTCAAAATTCCAACCTGGTGAGCCACCAGAGGACACACACAGGAGAGAAACCCTTTGAATGTCCTATCTGTGGGAAAAGTTTCAGTCAGAATTCCCACATGATGAACCACCAGAGGACTCACACAGGAGAGAAACCCTTTGAATGTCCTGTCTGTGGGAAAAGTTTCAGCTACAATTTTGACCTGGTGAGCCACCAGAGGACACATACAGGAGAGAAACCCTTTCAATGTCCGGACTGTGGGAAACGTTTCAGTCACAATAAGAGCGTCATGAAACACCGGAGGACTCACACAAGAGACAAACCGTATCAGTGTCCAAACTGTAAGAAAAGTTTCACTTGTAATTCTGACCTGATTAAACACCAGAGGACTCACACAGGAGAAAAACCCTTTGAATGTCCTGACTGTGGGAAAAATTTCAGTCGTAATTCCAGCTTGATGATACACCAGAGGACTCACACAGGAGAAAAACCCTTTGAATGTCCAGAATGTGGGAAATGTTTCAGTAAGAATTCCAACCTGGTGAACCACCAGAGGACTCACACAGGGGAGAAACCCTTTGAATGTCCTGATTGTGGAAAAAGATTCAGTCAAAATTCCAGCCTAGTGAGCCACCAGAGGACACACACTGGAGAGAAACCCTTTGAATGTCCTGTCTGTGAGAAAAGTTTCAATCAGAATTCCCACATGATGAGCCACCAGAGGACTCACACAGGAGAGAAACCCTTTGAATGTCCTGTCTGTGGGAAAAGTTTCAGTGAGAATTCCAGCTTGGTGAACCACCAGAGGACTCACACAGGAGAGAAACCGTATCAGTGTCCGGATTGCGGGAAATGTTTCAGTCGGAATTCCAACCTGGTGATACACCAGAGGACTCACACAGGAGAGAAACCCTTTGAATGTCCTGTCTGTGGGAAAAGTTTTAGTGAAAATTCCATCCTGGTGAACCACCAGAGGACTCACACAGGAGAGAAACCATATCAGTGTCTGGATTGTGGGAAACATTTCAGTCAGAATTCCAACCTGGTGATACACCGGAGGATTCACACAGGGGAGAAACCTTTCAGATGTCCATTTTGTGGACGTTACTTCACACATAAATCATCCCTTATTGCACACAAGGAAGTCCATATGAGGCAAAAGTAGTTGAGTTTATAGAAGGCTTGAATTTAATTTGTGATATCTCAATGAATGTGTAGGTCAGGAATTGATTATTTGAATCGGGCTGATTCTAGTGAAACATGTCTCAGGATTAGACTTGTAAATGGAGAGAAAACAAAAAGTCCTACTACTAGTTTCTTGTTATCAGCAGCAGTTACTGTATATTTTCTTTTGCAGAAGTGGAGTTTTTCAAAGAGACTTTTGGGTGGTAGTTTTGTATATTGATTATTGAATTCCCACATGTGGAACTTCAGTCTTCCTTTTCCGCATATTAAAGTTTTATTAGTTTATTATATACGATACAAAGAAAATACAAAAGTAAATAGCGGGAAAGATAGGGAATGGGAAAGGAAAAGGAAAAGTGAGGGAAGGGAACAAAAAGAAAAAAGAAAGCACTGACTTCCGACTTCCTTTGGTGCAGTAAAATAGAATATCAGCATCAAACCTCAACTTTTTACTTTTACAAAATAGTATAAACTAGCTATTTTGATAACAACAAAACTAATCGGTAATGCCCAAAATCAAAATTTCAGTTTTTTCTACCTTAAGCACAATGTCCAGTAGGGTTTCCACATGGCAATAGAAGTATTTGTATTCTTTTCTTTGATCAGTACAGTCAATTTAGCCATCTCTGCTAGTTCCATCATTTTTTGTAACCATTCCTCCGTTGTGGGAATCAATATAGTCTTCCATTTCTGAGCATAGAGTAATCTTGCTGCTGCCAACATATATAGCATCAAAGTTCCATATTTTTTTCCAGATCTTTGTCCATTAGCCCCAATAGAAAGGTCTCTGGTTTTCTTTCTATATCCATTTTAAGAATTTTCTGTATTAACATATGAATCCTGCTCCAATATTTTCTTGCTTTATCACACGTCCACCATAAAAAGTCCCCTGTTTACATTTCCAACATTCATTTGAAATGCCTTTATACATTTTTGATAACTTACCTGATGTTAAATACCAATGGTACATCATCTTGTAAAAGTTTTCTTTTAAGTTATAGTTTAATGTAAATTTTAATCCTTTATTCCACACATTCTCCCATTGTTCAAGCACTACATTATATCCAAAATTCCTTGCCCATTGAATCATACAATGTTTTTTTTAAAAAATTTGTATTATTTAAACCAACAAAACATAACACACATATATACACAGTATGTATTTTAACAGCAATTTCGTAACAGTAATCTTCTATTATTTACATTTTCCCCCCTTATTCTTCTTTGGAGTATTTGTCCTTGTTGCCCCATTGTTTCTTATTTGCATTTTTCTTCCTTCATACATTATTATACACACATTTTCCACTTTTAACCTTTCCACATTTATTCTCTCTTATTTCTACTCTCCAGCCAGTCATACCACTTGTTCCATATTAAATAGTACTCTGTGTCTTCCTTTTCTTTTATCTCTTTTGTTAATTTGTCCATCTCAGCACAGTCCAGGATTTTCTTTATCACTTCTTCCTCTGATGGTATATTCTCATTTTTCCAGAACTGTGCGTATGCTATTCTTGCTGCCGTTGTTATATGTAGAATTAAGTACCGTATTTCTTTACTATATTTTCTGTTTAAAATACCCAGCAAAAAGATCTCTGGTTTCCAGTCTACAGATTGGTCTATTATTTCTTCGATCCATCTTCTTATTTTAGTCCAGTATTTTTTTGCAACTGGGCATGTCCACCATAAATGATAATAAGTTCCGTGTACTTTTTTACATTTCCAGCATGTCGGCGAATTATTCTGGAACATCTTGGCAAGCTTTGCTGGTGGAAGATGCCATCTGTAAAACATCTTCAACTGGTTTTCCTTGAATGCCACTGACATAGTCAATTTTATATTTATTTTCCATATTTTTTCCCATTTCTCCAATTCTATATTATATCCAAAAAATTTTGCCCATCTAATCATTGTGTCTTTAACAACCTCGTCTTCCATTTTATATTTCAATAGGTATTTAATCATACAATGTTTTACTTGTTCATTTTCCAGATTTAAATTCAATAACCTTTTATAAACTTTAGCAATAATATGTTCATCACTGCCACACAACTCATTTTTAACAAAACTAAATCCGTGATTGTTTTTGTCTAGTTTAAATCTTTCTTTCAATTGCATATATGTAAACCAAACCAAGTGACCTTCTGATTCTAACTCCTCAGATTTGAGGGGAGGCTCACCCAAATTAAAAGGTATTATTTTACCATAGGTCCATCAATTTGGCCTCATCACCATCTTTTTTCTAAAAAAAGGCTTCTTCGTAGAGAACCTTGTTTTATATTTATTCCAAACTCTCAAAATGGCATGTCTTACAAAATGATTATTAAAATCAACATTTACTTTAACTTTGTCATACCAGAAGTAACCATGCCAGCCAAACCTTAATTCATGGCCTTCTAGGTCCAGTAACCTCTTATTCTGAAGGTTCACCCATTCTTTTAGCCAAACCAAACAACAAGCGTCAAAGTACCATTTCAAATCAGGTAAACCCAAACCCCTTCTTTCCTTAGCATCTTGCAATAATTTATATCTGATTCTCGGTTTCTCCCCCCTGCCATATAAACTTTGAAATATCCCTCTGCCATTGTTTAGACAGAATATCAGTTGCAAGTATTGGTAATGGTTGAAGCAGGAAAAGCAACTTTGGTAAAACATTCATCTTGATTACAGAAATTCTACCCAATAGTGATAAATGCAATTTATCCCATCTTAGTAAATCTTTTTTAATACCATTCCAGAGAGGCACATAATTCTTTTTGAACAATTTTATGTTTGAGTTTGTTAAACATGACCCCCAAATATTTCACCTTTTTCTCAACCCTAGGACTTTTTAGTCAGTATATCACCATCCCGTGAGGTCACTTTCTTAATCAACATTGATGTTTTCTGCTTGTTTATTTTAAAACCAGCCAAGGACCCAAACTCGTTTAGTTTCCTCATCAAATGTTCTGTATTATTTTTTGGGTCTTGCAGAAATGTCAGCAAATCATCAGCAAAGGCCTTCAATTTGTAAACTTCCTTCTTAACGTTTATACCTTTTATTTTCCTATCTTGCCTGATATCTCTATTCAGGACTTCCGACAACAGGATAAACAGCAGTGGATACAACAGGCTCCACTTGTCTTGTACCTTTCGAATTTCACATGAATTACTTAAATCACCATTAATAATAATTTTTGCTTGCTGTGATGTATAAATAGCTTTGACCCCTTGAATAAAATTCCCACCAAAATCCATTTCTTCCAGGACTTTCAACATAAAGGCCCAATTTAAGTTGTCAAAGGCCTTCTCAGCATCTAAGAATATCAAAGCTACCTGTTGTTCATTATAACAGTGTAAATATTCAATAATATTCAAAACTGTTCTCACATTATTCCTTAACTTATCTGCCAGTGCTGTCTTCAGGAATTTTGTTTTTACTTCCATATCTAGCAAATAAATGCGGGATTTCCTAGTGGTGTGCCATCCATGTATTAACATGGCGCATCTTTGCATAACCCAGAACTTTTTAAAAACAAAAACAAATAGTAATTGGGCTCATTTGGCATGTTCGGTTTTATAGGTAATCCTCGCTTACCACTTACCATTCAGTCTTCAGAGTTTCAGTGGTGCTGAAAAAGAGGACTTAATAACCGTTTCTCAAAGTTGTGGCCATCCCATTTACTTAGGGGTGGCACTGGCTTGCATTCACGAGGGTTGTGGTGTTCCACAGTCATGGACTTTCCATTTGAAACATTCACAACTGGCTTCCAACAAACAAAATCAATTGGAAATTGACAGGAAGTTGCAAGTCTCAGTCATGTTACATTGTACTAAGCAGACCACGGTGATTCACTTAATGACCGCAGCCAGAAAGGATGTTGTAAGTTGACATAGTTAAGTGATGTCATACTTAACGATCACACCATTTAGGCATGGATTTGCCGGTCCCAATGGCTTTCAGTAAGTGAGGACTACCTGAATTGGGATGTCATCAGTGTGGCTCTGGACAGTGTTTCTTACCTTTTTCTTATTTGGGGCAGTGGACTTCCAAGGGCAAAACCGGTCCTTTAAATCTGCTGTGGATCTTGGGATCATTTCATCAGTTAACATCCCCCCCCCCCATCGCTCTAAAATTAGGCCGGAAAAGGTGAGTGTACCCATTATGTGTATATGTAATTATGGGTAAAAAGAATAGAAAAAAATTTGGAAATAAATATACTAGGTTAAGAGGGATATGTATTTTAAGTAGTATATTTTGTATTTTCTCCCTTTTTTCTTCTCTTCCTTTTTCTTTTTCTTTTGTGTATTTACTTACTTTTTAAGATGTGAAAATAGATTTAAATACTTAAATGTAATTATTCTTGAGAAAATTTTAACCAGTAAGAATGTTTTGAACATTGTAGGGAAAACAAATTTAAATAAGAATTGTAAACAGGATTCATGACGAGTCAACTAAGACGACCAGATAGAAAAGAAGCACAATATTGATGTGATTGTTATTGGTAGAAATCTTAGAAAAATCTTTATATTGTTATCTATTAAACTAATAAGAATTGTATTAATTCAAGGTTGACAAAGAGAATATTATTGGAAAAAGAAAATCAAGCAAAGCTATTATATGGACTGTGGAATATAAAACTGATTGTTAGTGAGTAGTTTGTAAATATAAGACCAGACAACAGGTTGTTTACTAAATATTAAGGTGTTTATGTTAAAAAATCAATAAAATATATTTTTAAAAAATCTGTATATGTATAATGTGTTCCCAGCACTTCCAGATATATTTGATCATAACTCTTTACATTTCTATTAACTCGTGATTCACACAAGTCGACAAATAAATTTCATAACTGAATGGGTATTTGAACTTGGATCACACTAGACATGCATTTTGAAAATGAATCATAATTAATGTAAGAGGTTAAGTTAGCATTTTGGCATCTTTGCTGTTTATTGTAAAGTATGCTTTTGGATCTGGTTTTTCTCAAACGTTATGCAGCCGTTTTATAAACCATAATTAAACTAACCCTTTTATGTAAATCTTACAGGCAAAAAATGCCAAAGAGAGCAATCTGGAGAACTGAGAATCACAAGCAGCATTAAAATGCAAAGCAAACCAAGGCAGCAATCAAAATCTTATTAGTTCTTCTGGGAAAACCCCAAAACTCTTCTTCTTCCCCAGCAGGTGACAGACAAGGAAGAGAAAACCAGAAAAAGATTTTTGAGCTGGACAAAATGGACTGTATGGAAGAAAGATATCAAAATATCAAGTGGGATCATTTCCTACTTTAGAAAAAGAGGGAAACACCTAAAACTCAGTGGGAAGGAAAAGATCACTTGGGCAGCTATATAAGGCAGAACGTAATGCAGGCCTCGCCTTGTGAGGAAGGAAATAGTTTGAATCAAAGTTCCATCCAACAAGGGATTCAGAGTATTATTTTTTTAAAATATTTTTTTATTTTTTAAACCAACAAAACAAAACATAACACACATACACACACTGTATATACTCCTCCCTTTTTTAAACAGCGATTTCGTAACGGTAATCTTCTATTATTTACATTTCCCCCCCTTATTCTTCTTTAGAATATTTGTCCTTGTTGCCCCGTTGTTTCTTATTTGCATTTTTCTTCCTTCATACTATACTTCATACTAAGAATACATATTATTATTACTATACATTATTATACACACATTTTCCACTTTTGACCTTTCCACATTTATTCTCTATTATTTCTAGTCTCCAACCAGTCATACCACTTGTTCCATATTAGATAGTTCTGTGTCTTCCTTTTTTTAATCTCTTTTGTTAATTTGTCCATCTCAGCACAGTCCAGGATTTTTTTTATCACTTCTTCCTCTGATGGTATATTCTCATTTTTCCAGAACTGTGCATATGCTATTCTTGCTGCCGCTGTTATATGTAGAGTTAAGTACCGTATTTCTTTACTATATTTTTTGTTTAAAATACCCAGCAAAAAGATCTCTGGTTTCCAGTCTACGGGTTGGTCTATTATTTCTTCGATCCATCTTATTTTAGTCCAGTATTTTTTCGCAACTGGGCATGTCCACCATAAATGATAATATGTTCCATGTACTTTTTTACATTTCCAACATGGCGAATTGTTCTGGAACATCTTGGCAAGCTTTGCTGGTGGAAGATGCCATCTGTAAAACATCTTCAACTGGTTTTCCTTGAATGCCGCTGACATAGTCAATTTTATGACTATGAGTATTTTTGACGTCCTTGAAAATGCAAGATTCTCCAGCATGATGAGTGGAGAATCCACCTATGGGTTCTGCTTGTCTTCTGCCCATAGACTAAGTCAGCCAATGCAGCAAAAGCTTTGGTCAGAACAGTTGCCTTGTTGTTCACTGAAGGACTCACACCAGAGAGGAGCTCTACCAGGGCTCCCAATGCTGCAAAAGCTATAGCAAGCAGGGCAAGCTGATAATACACCAGAGGACTCACACTGAGGAGAAACCCTTTTGAGTGTCCAGATTTGGGGAAAGGTTTCAGTCAGAATTCCAATCTAGTGATACACCAGACAACACATACCGGAGAGAAACTATATGAATCACCGGTTTGTGGAAAAAGTTTTTGTCCGAATCCCCACCTGGTAATACACCAGAAGACTCACATAGGAGAGAAACCATATGAATGTCCAGGTTGTGGAATAGGTTTCAGTCAGAATGCTGATTTGGTGAGACACCAGAGGACTCACACAGGAGAGAAACCATATAAATGTCCAGATTGTAAGAAAAATTTCAGTCGAAATTCCAGCTTGGCAATACACTGGAGGACTCACACAGGAGAGAAACCCTTTGAATGTCCTGACTGTGGTAAAACTTTCAATCGTAATTCTAGCCTGGTGAAACACCAGAGGACTCACACAGAAGAGAAACCGTATCAGTGTCTGGATTGTGGGAAAGATTTCTGTCAGAATTCCAACTTAGTAATACACCAGAGGACTCACACCGTGGAGAAACCTTTCAAATGCCCAGTCTGTGGACGGTACTTCTGGCATAAATCATCATTTATTGCACACAAGAAAATCCACATGAGGCAAAAGTAGTTGAGTTTAGGGAATTGAAAATGTAGGTGATAAATTGACTATTTTAATTCTAACCTTTCTTTTTACTGAAACATGTCTCAGGATTATTGTTGTAGGTGGAAAGAAAAGGAAAATGGAATAAGGCTAACAGCCCGTTTCTGATTATCAGCAGCAGTTACTGGATATTTCCTTTTGCAGAAGTTGTGGAATGCCTCAAAAAGGCTTTTGGGTGGTGTTTTTGTATATTGATTGTCAAATTTGTACAGGTGGAGTTTCCGTCTTCTACCTTGGTTTCCTCCAGTTTTTGAGGCCCAGAATTCCCCAGCCAGCATACAAGTAGTTCTCAAGATATGATTACTAATAATAAAGTTGGAAGGAACCTTGGAGGTCATCGAGTCCAACCCCCTGCTCACACAGGAAACCCTACACCATTTCGGACAGATGGCTGTCCAGTCTCTTCTTAAAAACTTCCAGTGTTGGAGCATTCACCGCTTCTGGAGGCAGGTTGTTCCATTGGTTAATTGTTCTAACTGTCAGGAAGTTTCTCCTTAGTTCTAGGTTGCTTCTCTCCTTGACTAGTTTCCATCCGTTGCTTCTTGTCCTGCCCTCAGGCGCTTTGGAAAATAGCTTGACTCCCTCTTCTTTGTGGCAGCCCCTGAGATATTGGAACACTGCTATCATGTCTCCCCTTGTCCTTCTCTTCGTTAAACTAGACATACCCAATTCCAGCAACCGTTCCTTATATGTTTCAGCCTCCAGTCCCCTAATCATCTTTGTTGCTCTTCTCTGTACTCTTTCTAGAGTCTCAACATCTTTTTTACATCGTGGTGGCCAAAACTGGATGCAGTATTCCAAGTGTGGCCTTATCAAGGCATTATAAAGTGGTATTAATACGTCACGTGATCTTGATTCTATCCCTCTGTTAATGCAGCCTAGCACTGTGTTGGCTTTTTTGGCAGCTGCAGCACTCTGCTGGCTCATATTTAAATGATTGTCCATTAGGACTCCGTGGTCCCTCTCACAGTTATTACTATTGAGCAAGGTGCCCCCTATACTATACCTGTACATTTGGTTTTTCTTGCCTAAATGTAGAACCTTACTTTTTTCACCATTGAATTTCATTTTGTTAGATAGCGCCCAGTGTTCAAGTCTGTCCAGATCCTTTTGTATCTTAAGCCTGTCTTCTGGAGTGTTGGCTATTCCTGCCAGCTTGGTGTCGTCTGCAAATTTGATGAGTTCCCCATCTATCCCCTCGTCCAGATCATTGATGAAGATGTTGAAGAGCACTTTTCTAATCATTTATAAAAATTATCCCATGTTTGAAAGTATTCTGAATCTTGTTTCCCTTTCATTTTCAATGTAAGCCTGTCCATTTCTGCACAGTCTAGAATTTTCTTAATTATATCTTCTTCAGATGGCGTTTTCTTCATTTTTCCAATGCTGAGCAAAAGTAATTCTCGCTGCTCTTAGTAAATGTAATATTAAATATACACATTCTTTATCATGGTTTTCTGAGGCTATACCTAAAAGAAATAGTTCCGGTTTATAGTCTACATGTTTTCCTGTCATCTTCTCTAGCCAGCTATGTATTTTTGACCAGATTTTTTTTTGCTTTAGAGCCGTGGTGGCGAATCTATGGCATGCGTACCACAGGCGGCACACACAGAGCCGTCCCTGTGGACACGCACGCCATCACCCCAGAGGGACGCGGGGCCGGGCTGCTGCCCTTTGCCTCTCCACGTGCGCCAGTGCTCTTTTTTTTTTTTTTTCCAAAATTTTTATTGTTTTCATCATAAAAAGAAACATCACAATTAAAGCACAATGCTACATAGGAAAACCCCGCACCCCCCCCCGGACTTCCCAAACCTAATCCCAGGATAACATTCAAATATAAGTAAACAAATATTAATATCTCTAACTCCACAAGGTATAATATTCTATATGAGTAGGTAGAATATATTAAAAAGAAAAAAAAACAGATTTATTAAAAACCTAAATTATATTCCACCACTCTATGCTTCTTTTGAATATAAACGATCCAACTTCTCCATATTGATAAAAATTGTTCATTTGAGTAGTTTTTCAAATAAGCCGAGATCTTTGCCATTTCAGCAAGGTATGAAACTTTCAATCTCCAGTCTTCCATTGTAGGTAGAATTTTGCTCTTCCAATTTTGAGCTATCAACAAACGGGCAGCAGTTAAGCAATACAACATCAAATTTGTTTCTCTTACATCTTTCTCTCTGCACTGGGAGTCAGGGAGCAGCTGCAAGAGCTGGGCGGATCCGGGCTGGATGGTGGAGGCAGGGCTTTTTTTGTCATACAACGCAGGCACCTTTTTTTTGAACGGAAGCTGCCAGCGCGAGTCCAGGTATGCCTGCAGAGCAATTTCGTGCCTACCCCCCACGGCTGATCCAGGCTCCGGAGGCATTTTGCAGCCTCCAGCGGCTCGATCCAGGCTCCAGAGGCCTTTTCCTAACCTCCGGAGCCCAGATCCATGGCCGCGGAGGCCTGTTGCATCTCTTTTTTTGCCTATCGGCGTGGTAAGTGCTCATCTTGGTTGCGCTGGGCTTCCAAACAGGTGACCGTACCATTTGCTGAAAAAGGGGTGGGCGGGTCATGCGAATCTGAAATACTTCATTTCAAGCTGTGTTACTGGAAGCCTTACGTGTTGCGGTTCTAAAGCGGAGACCCTAGTAAGCTTTCTTTCTGTTCCATCAGTCCGGTTTACTCAGCTAAGTATGTATATCCTTTTTTTTTTACTCTTTCTATCCAACATAGCCTTCTTCCATTCTTGTAACATGCTGTATCTCCATAGCATTCGCAAAATTATCTCCATAATGTTCCCTCTTTTGTGAATGCCCCATTATCTTAAACGTATCTCTCTTTTCCCAACTCTCCTCCCTCCCTTCTTTTCATCTGTCATCAAATTTCCTTTCTGCACCTCTGTTCTTTTCATCCTATTTCATTCCTCATCAATTCCCTTTTCATACCTGTATTTGTACATAAATAGCAACAGGTGGTCAACCATTTATGCAGGCTCAGACCTTATTTTCACAAAGTGTGTGCATGCATGAGCAAGCACACATATGCTTTATTTTTATCTTGCATTCCTATTCTATTCTATTCTATTCTATTCTATTCTATTCTATTCTATTCTATTCTATTCTATTCTATTCTTCCAGATTTCTCCACACAACAGAGCTGAGAGCCAATAGTCACTATCATCACCATCCATACCTTATTAAATCTGCATTAAAAATGGCATTGTAGGGTGTCCTTCTAAAAAGGTTAGCCTGGTGGGCTTGATAGGCTATTCTATTTTTGCCTTTTTTTTTTTACAAATCTTTTTTTGAAACATTTCTTCTACCATATATAAACAATTGGCCCCTCTTTCTTAGGCCCCATTTTTAAGACCCTGCTGCATATTTTTCTCTCTCTGTGACCTAATGGAGACTTCCGTACAAGCAAATTTACAGAAGCACAAGGCATTTAGCAGGTATAAAATTTCCTCCTTCAGGAATGAAGAGGCATGCTCGGTGCTCTTGGATGCAGCCCTGGCTAGCAGGAGTGAAGCTGATTCCCCTGAAGCATCTGGCCGTATGTTGCTGCCATGTCCTAAATCCTTGGGAGCCACAGGAAATCGGTCATAAAGATTTGGGGTGTAGAGAGGTTTTGATCTCCACTGAGAGTCAACCCTAAGAAAGCTGATTGTGTAATTCTGTAAAACCGTTGTGAACTTTTAGTCTTTTAAATTAGTATGTCTAATTTAATGAAGAGAAGGACGAGGGGGGACATGATAGCAGTGTTCCAATATCTCAGGGGCTGCCACAAAGAAGAGGGTGTCAAGCTATTTTCCAAGGTGCCTGAAGGCAGGACAAGAAGCAATGGGTGGAAACTAAGCAAGGAGAGAAGCAACCTAGAACTAAAGAGAAACTTCTTGACAGTTAGAACAATTAACCAGTGAAACAACCTGCCTCCAGAAGCGGTGAATGCTCCAACACTGGAGGTTTTTAAGAAGAAACTGGACAGCCATTTGTCCGAAATGGTATAGGGTCTCCTCCCTGAGCAGGGGGTTGGACTAGATGATCTCCAAGGTCCCTTCCAACTTTACTATTATTATTATTATTAAGTACATAGCTAATCTTCACAGGCTAACTGGCATCACATTTCTCTATTTCACGTGGCTCAGTTGCAAAGGTCAGATGCTAGAAGTAAAAATATGACTTGATAGCTTTTAATCATGGAAAACATCTAATAATAATAAAGTTGGAAGGAACCTTGGAGGTCATCAAGTCCAACCCCCTGCTCAGGCAGGTAACTCTCTACATCTTGCAAATACTTTAGGTAGAGACGGAACCAGTATGTTTTGCCACAACCTATCCGGAGATGGTGGTCAAAGAGGCAAAATCTGTGCCTAGAACAGGGGTCTTCAAACTGGCTAAAGAATCCTGGGAGTTGAAGTCCACAAGTCATAAAAGGGCCAGGTTTGAAGACCCGTGGCCTAGAAAGTTGATAATACAACAACCTGCGACTGTGATTGAGCTTAAAGGAGTTAAAAACATCGAGTACTGTATTGCTAGAAAGGTGGGGAGGAGAGGAGAAGCACAAAGGAGCTTCCTCTTCCGGATCACTCATGGGAGGAAGGTGATACGCAGAGCGGCTTTTGTGCTCTTCCAAGGATCGAAGCAGCAGCTGGAAGGTGAGTTGAGGGCAGGTCGGAGGAGAAGCCCGGAGCAAGACGGGCTGTTTGGTTTTCTTCAAGGAGTCCAAGCAGAGAAATAAACGAGGTTGAAGCATGTCGGCTGCTGCTGCTGCATTTTCCTTCCCTCCCCAAATTTAAGTCCACTGTTGCTGCATGCTTTGAAACTCAGGGCTGCAATTTTTTGCTGATGGGAAGATCTAAAAAGTCTCCTTCTAGTGAAGGTTGATTCTTTGGGAATGTCTTCCCTCCAAAGGTTGTGAGTGCTCCAGCACTGCAGGTTTGTAAAAAAGTAACAAAGTTGGAAGGAACCTTGGAGGTCTTCTATCTAGTCCAGTGTTTCTCAACCATGATAATTTTAAGGCATGTGGACTTCAACTCCCAGAATTCCACAGCCAGCAATGCTGGCTGTGGAATTCTGGGAGTTGAAGTCCACATGCCTTAAAATTGTCAAGGTTGAGAAACACTGATCTAGTCCAACCCCCCCCCCCCGCTCAAGGGTACCATTTCAGACAAATAGCTGCCCAGTCTCTTCTTAAAAGACTCCAGTGATGTAGCACCCACAACTTCTGAAGGCAGATCATTCCACTAGTTAATTGTTCTCAAGAGTCAGAATTTTTTTCCTTAGCTGTACGTTGCTTCTCTCCTTGATTAGTTCCCATCCATTACTTCATTGCTTGCCTTCTGGTGCTTTGAAAAATAGGTTGACCCCTTTTTCTTTGTGGCAACTCCTCAAATATTGGGATACTGCTATCATGTAATCCCTAGTCCTTCTTTCCTCTAGACTAGAAATACCCAATTCCTGCAACTATTCTTCATATGCTTAGCTTCCAGCTAAATCGTCTTTGTTTCTCTTTTCTGCACTCTTTCTAGAGTCTCAACATCTTTTTATAACATGGTGACCAAAGCTGAATGCAATTTTTTAAGTATGGCCTTACTGTTTATAAAGCAGTACTAATACTTCACGTGATCTTGATTCTATCCCCCTCTTAATGCAACCTAGGATTACACTGGATTTTTTTTGCTACTGCAGCACACTGCTGGCTGATATTTAAATGATTGTCCACTAAAACTTAAAGTCCCTCTCATAGTTACTGCTATTGAGCCAGGTTTCACCTATTCTGTACCTTTACATTGTTTTTTTCTTAGCTTAGTGTAAAACCTTATTTTTTCCCCTCCATTGAATTTCATTTTGTTACATAGGGCCCAGTGTTCAAATCTATCGAGATTCTTCTCTATCTTGAGCCTATCTTCTTGGGTGTAGGCTATTCCTGCCAACTTGGTGTCATCTGCAAATATGATGAGTTCTTCTATTCCCTCATCTAACACATTTATGAAGATATTAAAGAGTACTAAAATGGATCTTGGGGTACACCACTGCTTACGTCCCTCCATGCAGAAGTATTGTAGATGTCCCTCCATTAAGGAATATACTTTGAGTGCGGTTTGTCAGCCAGTTTGAATCCATCTGTGTGGATGCATGTACCTATCCCATTTTTTTCTAACTTACCAAGAGGTAGGTTATGGTCTACTTTGTCAAATGCCTTCTGAAATCCAAGTATACTATGTCCACTGCATATCACTGGTCCACTGATTTAGTCACTTTGTGTAAGAATGAAATAACATTTGTTTGGCATGATCTGTTTTTGACAAACCCATGTTGGCTTCTTGTTATGACTTTGCTTGCTTCTAGGTGTTTGCAGATCCCCTGTTTGATTATCTTTTCCAGGATAATTTTCCCAGATATTAATATCAGGTATTAATATTAAAACTGGTCTGAAGTTTTGTGGATCCTTTTTTTAATCCCTTTTTTGAAGATGGGAACTACATCAGCTCTTTTTCGGTCCCCTGGTAGTTCCACGGTACCCGAGGATCTTTGAAAGATATGGTTCAATGGTTCTGAGATAACATCTGCCAACTCCTTCAGAACTCTGTGATGAAATCAATCTGATACTGGTGATTAGAACTCGTCTACAGTGGACAGGTGTTCTTTTACTATTTTCTTGCCTATTTTAATTTGTATTCCTTGACTGTCTTTTACGGCAGGGCTTTTCAACCTTTTCACCCATTGTACCACTTTTAGGATATGGCAATATCCGAGTACCACCAGTTGTCTAGCAAGGTGTCAAAAACTTGATGACTAAAAAAAAATGAAAAAAGTGATAAAGTACAGGTAGTCCTCAACTTACAACAGTTCGCTTAGTGACTGTTCGAAGTTACAATAGCACTGAAAAAAGTGCCCCCCAAGCTATAGCCGAGCAAGACATCTGCCTGCCTGCCCAGTGGCGCTCTTCCTCCTATCCGAGGTTTTCATTGTTGTGAGCATTTCTGTTGAGGATTGGCAGCGGGGGTGGGGGGTGTTTGGTTTTTATTCCCCCCTATCTGCTGGGTGGTTGCAGCAGGTTTTAGTCACTTCACTTCACTTCACTTCACTTGACCCTGGGACACTTTGACCGTCATAAATATGAATCAGTTGCCAAGCATCTGAATGTAAATCACAAGACCCTGGAGATGCTGCAACATTCCAGCTGATTGGCGCTTCGTTTGGGCTCAGCAGAAGCGCCAGGATCAGTGCTGAGCTTCAGCTGGAGCCTGGCGCTGATCCTGGTACTTCCACTGAGCCCTGACAGCCCTGCAGCTTCAGCCATCTCTCACTCAGGCTTGTGTGGTGCTGCCACCGGTTCAGCTCATTCCCCTCCCCCGCTATCACTTTTCTAGGATGCTCGCGTACCACCTGCCAGGTGCCAATGTACCACAGGTGGTACCCGTACTACTGGTTGAAAAGCCCTGTTTTACGGTTCTGATTTTGGTAGGTTGGGCTATTTTTTCTTTTTGCCTGAAGTTAGATGCAAAGAATGAATTAAGCAGCTCTGCTTTCTCTCTGCTGCCCGTCATTTCCTTGCCATTGTCTCCCATTGTTTCCTTAACTTTTTTCTTGTTTTTTACATGTTGAAAGAACCTTTTTTAAAATTATTCTTGACGTTTGTTGCAAGTCTTAGTTCATGCTCAGCATGAGCTTTCCTGATTTCATCTTTGCAGATTTGGGCTATATACTGGTATTCTGCCTTAGTTATGTGTCCCTATTTCTATTTTTTATACTTATCCCTTTTGCCTTTCAGTTGATCAGAGAGTTTTTTATGCAACCATCCTCGGGTGTGTTTTTTTAATTTTTTCTTTTTCTTTTTCAGTGATACTGTGTTGGACTGGGCTTTTGTAATCATATTTTTTCAGAGTTTCCCAAGCTTCTTGAGTTTTTTTTTTCCCTCTTTAAGACTTTCATCCATGGAATCCTTCCCACGTTTGTTGAAATCAGCTCTTTTAAAGTTTAAGATACTAGTTTGATTTTGCTCTAATGCTGGTGTCTGCATTATACTGAATTCCAATATGACATGGTCACTCTTGCCCAAGGTTGCGGCAACTTCAACACCCCTCTATCATTTCATATCTGCTAGTAAGAATTTAGATCACTATAGGAGACATCCTAGTTCGCTCTTCTACCTTTTGGATGACAAAGTTGTCATCTAGGTTCATCAGGAACCTTTAAGACAAGATTGGGCAGCCATTTGTCTGGAATGGTTATAGGGTCTTGTGCCTGAGCATAGGATTGGACTAGAAGATCTCCAAAGTCCCTTTCAACTCTGTTATTCTATTATGGGCTTGCTATCTTCTTGGTAACAATATTGGAGTGATATGCCACTGCACTTGTCTGGGATGTTTGCTTTTTTACTTCCCTGTATCGTCAACAAGCACAGTATTTCCTATTGGTGCCCCATCAGTATATTAACCAGGTTCAATTGTGCTTAATCCAGCACTTTTTAAAAAAAATTGAGCACCTTTGGGATGTTCAGTTGTATAGGCGGTCCTCAGTTACCATTTCTTCCCTGAGCCTTCAGAGTTACAATGACAGTGAACATCCTGATTGTGGGAAAAGTTTCATTAGAAATTTCCACCTCATGAGACACCAAAAGACTCACAAAGGAGAGAAACTCTTTGAATGTCCTGATTGTAGGAAAAGTTTCAGTCATGATTCCAACCTTGTGAAACACCAGAGGACTCACACAGGAGACAAACCCTTTGAGTGTCCTGATAGTGGGAAACGTTTCAGTCAGAATTCCAAACTGGTGATATACCAGAGGACTCACACAGCGGAGAAACTGTATCAGTGTCCAGATTGTGTGAAAAGTTTCAGCAGCGGTTCTGACCTAGTGAAACATCAGAGGACACATACAGGAGAGAAACCATTCGATTGTCCAGATTGTTGGATAGAATTCTGTCTGAATTATCACCTTCTGAAACACCAGAAGAGGCACACAGGAAAGAAACAGATTGTGTGAAAAGTTTCCTTTGGAATTCTGAGCTGGTGAGGCACCAGAGGACTCACACAGGAGAGAAACCTGTGTCCAGACTGTGAGAAAGATTTCAGTACTAGTACTAGCCTTATAAATCATGTGCTTATACACACAGGGGAGAAACCATTTAAGTGCCCCCAGTGTGGACGATGCTTCAGGACAGTGGTGGCGAACCTACGGCACGGGTGCCAGAAGCCGCACTCAGAGCCCTCTCTATGGGCACGCGCGCTGTCACCCCAGTCCTAGGCCTTCAGCTGGGTTTTATAAAACCTTTTCTCTTTAGGCCTCCACCGCTGTGTGCAAAAAAAAAAAAAGGTTCAATCAATCAAGTCAATTTCAACTTCTCACGGGAAAAAAAATCTTGCAAAATTGGAATTGATTGATTGAACTTTTTAGTCCCGCCCAGTCTGCCGTTACTACCACAGCCACCCCCAGCCAATGGGCCACACCCAGCCAATGGGCTATACCCACCCAGCACCTGACGATGCATAAGTGGGTTTTGGGTTGCAATTTGGGCACTCGGTCTCTAAAAGGTTCGTCATCACTGTTATAGGACAAATGACTGGAACAGTCTTCACCGATCCTTAAGGGAAGTGCATTTTTTTGTTCTATATGCATATCGTTCACCCACCCCCCTTCTTTCCCTTGGTGTAGTTCTCGTTTGCATGGGAAGCTTCTTGCTCTGTTTTCTGTGGTGATGAGTGAATCTTCGGGAGGACTGAACAAACAAGTTAGGGACAATCATCACAGAGAAAGTCTATTGATGTGATTGCTGGAGTCGAAAAGAACTTGACAACACATAATCAATAAAAAAAATCTGGCAACTGCATTAGGTAGAGACAGTGCAATATGATTTTCAGCTTTATCTCACTAGTTGGTGCACTATAGATAAGCTAGACAACTGTCACTGCAAGTAGAGCACCGGTAATAGAGGCGGAGTTGAAACATTTGAATATTAGATTCCTAGAGAGGATTTGAAGGAGAGGAGGAGAACAGCAGAGGAATTTCCTCTTCCCGCTCTTCGCTGGGAGGATGGAGGCGGGAAGGTTGGTTTTTCTGGTCTACCCAGGGTGGAAGCAGCAGCTGAAAGGTGAGCTGAGGACAGGTGGAGGAGAGACCTTCTTGGGTTACCCCGGGGCTTCTTGGGTTACCCTGGGGTGTAAAAGCAGAGAAGCAACGAGGTTGAATCATGTCAGCTGCTACACATTCCCCCCCCCCCCCGATTTTATTCCATTGGTGGTGCAAGCTTTAAAACTGGTGCCTGCATTTTTCTGTGTTGGGAGATTTAAAAGGCTCTTTCAGATTAGGGTTGGCTCCTTCTGATTTTATGGGCATGTTCTTTTCTTGGCAACAATTTGGAGCTGATCTGCCAGTGCTGTCTTTAGGAATTTTGTTTTTACTTCCATATCTAGGAAACAAATGCAGGATTTCCTGGTGGTGTGCCATCCATGTATTAACCTGGCACATCGATGCGTAACTCAGAACTTTTTTTAAAAAAAATAAATAATAATTGAGCCCATTTGGCATGTTCGGTTTTATAGGTAATCCTCACTTACCGCTTACCATTCAGTCTTCAGGGTTTCAGTGGTGCTGAAAAAGAGGACTTACAACCATTCCTCAAAGTTGTGGCCATCGCAGTTATTTAGGGGTGGCAGCAGATTGCATTCACGAGGGTTGTGGTGTCCCACAGTCACGGACGTTCCATTTGGAACATTCACAACTGGCTTCCAACAAACAAAATCCATTGGAAATTGACAGGAAGTTGCAAGTCACAGTCATGTTACATTGCATTGAGCAAACCACGGCGATTCACTTAATGACCGCAGCCAGAAAACATTTTGTAAGTTGACATAATTAAGTGATGTCATACTTAACGATCACACCATTTAGGAATGGACTTGCCGGTCCCAATGGCTTTCGGTAAGTGAGGACTACCTGAATTGGGATGTCATCAGTGTGGTTCTGGACAGTATTTCTTGCCTTTATGTTGTTTGGAATGGTGGACTTCTATAAGTAAAATAGGTCCTTTAAATCTAGCCGAAGATCTTGGGATCATTTCATCAATTAACACCCCCTCCATCGCTCTAAAATTAGCCAAAAAATATGAGTGTACCAACATATATGTCTATATGTATAATGTGTGCCCAGCACGTCCAGATATATTTGATGGTAACTTTGCAATTCTATTAACTTGTTATTGGCCCAACTCAACAAGTAAATTTCATAACTGAATGGTTATTTGAACTTGGATGAAACTAGACATGTTTATTGAAAATGAATCATTATTAATGATTCTTCTTCTCCAGCAGGTGACAGACAACGAAGAGAAAACCAGGAAAAGAGTTTTGAGCTGGACAAAATAGAGTATACGGAAGAGAGACATCAAAATATCAAGGGGGATCATTTCCTAGTTCACAAAAAGAGGGAAACATCTGGAAGTCACTGGAAAGGAAAAACTCACTTGGATAGCCACATAAGACAGACCGTAATGCAGGCCTCGCCCTCTGAGGAAGGAAACAGTAGCTTGAATCAAAGCTCCATCCAACAAGGGATTCAGAGTACTTTTGATGTCCTTGAGAATCCAAAAATATCAGTGGTGGAAAAGATCCATGGATGTGCCGATTGTGGGAAAAGCACAGATTGTAGATTGCAGCTGAATATTCACGAGAGGATCCACACTGGAGAAAAGCCATATCAATGCTCCTAATGCACCAAAAGCTTTAGTCAGAACAGTTAACTTTTGGTTCATGGAAGGACTCACAAGAGAGAGGAGCTCTACCAGGGCTCCCAATGCAGCAAAAGCTATAGCGAGCAGGGCAAGTTGATAATACACCAGAGGACTCACACTATGGAGAAACTGTTTGAGTGCTCGGATTGTGGGAAAGATTTCAGTCAGAATTCCTACCTGGTGATACACAAGAGGAGTTGCACAGGAGAGAAAGCCTTTGAATGTCCTGACTGTGGGAAATGTTTCAGTCGTAATAACAGCCTGGTGAACCATCAGAGGACTCACAGAGGTGAGAAACCTTATTGTCCAGAATGTGGGAAAAGTTTCAGTTATAATTCTGACTTGGTGCAACATCGGAGGACTCACACAGGAGAAAAACCCTTTGAATGTCCTGACTGTGGGAAAAGTTTCAGTCAGAATTCCAGCCTGGTGATACACCAGAGGATTCACACAGGAGAGAAACCCTTTGAATGTCCTGATTGCGGGAAAAGTTTCAGTCGTAATTCCTCTCTGGTGATACACCAGAGGATTCACACAGGAGAGAAACCCTTTGAATGTCCTGTCTGTGGGAAAAGTTTCAGTGAGAATTCCAGCCTGGTGAACCACCAAAGGATTCACACAGGAGAAAAGCCATTTGAATGTCCTGTCTGTGGGAAACATTTCAGTCATAATTTCAGTCTGGNATTCCAGCCTGGTGAACCACCAGTGGATTCACACAGGAGAAAAGCCATTTGAATGTCCTGTCTGTGGGAAAAGTTTCAGTCATAATTCCAGCCTGGTGAGACACCAGAGGACTCACACAGGAGAGAAACCATTAGTGTCCGGATTATGGGAAACATTTCATTCGGAATTCCCACCTGGTGATACATCAGTGGACTCGCACGGGGGAGAAACCTTTCAGATGTCATTTGTGGATGTTACTTCAGGCATAAATCATCCTTTATTACACACAAGGAAGTCCATATGAGGCAAAACTAAATGAGTTTATAGACGACTTGAATTTCATTTGTGATATTTCATTGAAGGTGTAGGTGAGGAATTGACTATTCGAATTCTGGCTTGATGCTTTCTAGTGAAAGATGTCTCAGAATTAGAGTTGTAAGTGGAGAGAAAGCAAAAATGAAAAAAGTCCTACTACCAGTTTCTGGTTGTCAGCAGCAGTTACTGGATATTTCCTTTTGCAGAAGGAAATACTACTCGATGTTGCTCGTGGGGAGGGACGACTGTGGGAGACGGGCAGGGTCGGTGGAGATCCAGGGTGTCTCTGGCAGATGGGGCGGTAGGCAGGAGGCTTGTCCTGTGGGGTGAAGTGAGGCAAGGTGAGGCAGGGCAGGGGTGCCATTGTCGCAGAGAAAGGCGAGGCAGGGGCCAGGGCTGCTGCTGCCTGACACCATCGGCCCCCACACACAGGGGACCAACAGTGTCTGTCAGCAGCCACAGCTGGCCAGTCCCTTGATCGGCGCACTCTAGAGCTACGCAGCCCACTGCCAGCTCAGACAAGCTGCCTCTGAGCTGAACGGCTGGCTGACAGCTGAGGAGGCGATGCAGTGGGTCCTGCCCAGGAAAAGGAAAGCATGCGAGGCCAGGAGGGATGGGACAGGGGGGAGGGAAACCAGCCGTGCTGGGATGCATCCGGCCACATGGGACCTCGGCAAGTTAGCAGGCGGCTGGTTGAAGAGGGACGGTTGCCATCTCCAGGGCATGGTGCGCGTGCCGACAGAGAGGGCTCTGAGTGCCGTCTCTGGCATGCGTGCCATAGGTTTGCCACCACTGTTCTAACCCAACAGGAGAAAGGCTGGCGGTTCTTCATCGACCAGCCCAAGCTACTTGCAACCGAAGTCCAAAAGTACTAACCAGCATAACTATGAATAGCGTGCTTGAAGCTGGGTATGGAATTTGATCTTTTCTATTCTACATTTAATTTCCTGGAAAAGATCCCCAAGAAGCAAAATACCTCCAAAAGGGAAGTAGGGGGATTTCCACCCCACCCTTATAATTCGGAAGTGGTGAATTAATCTTTTTATGGAGGATCAAAATAAATATAAAACCTGAAATTTAAAACTTAACTCTGGATAAATCTAAAATTGTTGATTGGTTAAGACTCTCATACTCTCATTCATTTTGGAAATTGAAAAATATATTGATGCTGTCATCTAGTGGTGGATGAAGATTATGACAGCTATGACTTTAATATAAGACTTGGCAAAACCTGGGAAAAGCTAATCTGTGTTTGTGACCTTCAAAACTTTAACAACAA